GAAACAATTAATTCGAGAATGAATCGTTAAGTCTGTTGTGGAAGTTGTCACTATGCTAAAAATGGCGATATTCGTAGGAACACCTTTATCACTTGTCGTGTCGCCGCGAAATCTCAGGCCTGTTATTTGTGAAATGTAATGGCTTATTATGTAAAAACTATTACAGCCTCGACATTTTTGTATTAGAATTTTTATCTTGAAAGTTTCTAAAGAATTTATGATTAAAAGGATATCCGGTGGTTTACACAATTAAAATTCTCAAATACGCTCTCTCTCTCTCTCTCTCTCTCTCTCACACACACACACACACACGCACACACACAATACATAATATAATTGTATACTTAATTAAATTGACAATCAATATGTTAATGATATTAATAATACATCCTTTAGAAATAATCTGTAAATAATATATTGCAAAAAGTATTATTTTAGCCTAGATTCTACATGGAACATACAACATAATCTATTTTTTTATTCTTTTCCTTACTGAATCCCTATAATTTTGTAATTTGTGTTTCCTGTCACATTTTTCCTGTTTACATTTCTCACGCATTCGTTTCATTTACACAATATCTTTACTACAATCTAATTCACAAATTAAAGTATTTTCTACTTCATTATCTATTAAAATATTTTTTCTTGTACACCACCATGTTAAAACCTTTACCGCTATTACACGCACCATTGTTTTAAAAATGTCATTATGGTGGTCGGTGCATCGATGCCAACTTAAATCAATGTTCCAATTATCAAAATATTGTAATAACGTTTTTAAGATATTACGTCGATGTGCTCTTGTTTTTAATAATTTAGTCAACATATTTATTATTTGTCTTGCGCAAACTATAAATTCACTATTTTTAAAACTGTTATCGCATTGTTCACAATATTTAATTTTTTTTAATATAGTAGTAATAACATCTTCCATGTGTTCGGATAATGAAGCGGTAATTGAATTTTCGCAAACAACTTTATCAGTAACCAAGTCATGTGGCTCATCACAAATACTATCGTTGCGATCGATACCAAGCGGTTCGTCGTTTGCAACATCAGTTTTTAAACACTCTTCCAATGAAAATAACATAAAATCATCTTTGATGATTTCACAATTACTACCAATAATTGAAAGTGATTTCATATTGTTGACCAATAGAGTGATGAATGAATATTCAAACTGACGTGGTGTAGGATTTGTATGACGAACAGCATGACTTCGAATTTGACCAAAAAAATTTTCGATTGGGTCCTGGTTACAATAACGCGTTTTACAATTTAGAAATCCATACGTTGAATTTAGTTTTTTCCAAATTTTCTGAAATGCGTGTATAGTTAAAAACCAATTTTGAAGTGTCGGCACCGATGTTACTATTTTGTGTGTCTTTTTGTGTACAAATCTCATATTCCGCAAAATATTTCTAGCATCCGCCCAAAATGCATGATGAGCACTATTTTCCATTACTGGACATCGCAGTTTGTTGTCGCTTACCTCTTGGCCATTTACAGAATCAAACAAATTATTGAAAAAGTTGATTACTTCGGCTGTCGCAAGTCCCTCTTCCTCATTTATGCTTAATTCATCATCATCTACTGGTACAGTACCTGCAAAAAAACAAATACACACACATATACTTCATATTTCGTTGTAAGTATGCAATTCAAGTACATGTATTTTAATTATGTTTGTTTCACTTTCTTTACGTTAGACTACACTTGATTTTTTTGTTATCGAATATAATATGTAAGAATGCTTACATTTTAATCTCGTCAATGTTTCGATGCAACTAGCAACGGTTCCACTTAAGACTTGGGTAGCATATTTTACACGCATTTTCTTGATTTTATTTTCTATTACGTGCTGCTTGGTCAACTTTTGTAATTGTGGGCGAATTGTGTTCAGTTTCCTGTCCATTATCCACGCAGTTTTTATAATTTCCCATGATGCTAATTGTTCTGTAATACTCTCACAATTTATTAATAAATCCTTTGTAAGCATATTATTTCTAATTCCTTTTATCAAATGCGGAGGATCAAACAAAGGTATAATCTCTTTGTTATCTATTTCAAAACTTTGGCCTGTAAAAAATTTATTAAATAAGTACAATTTATAATTATCATGTTTAATTATATTATTACAATGTATATTATTATTTACCTTGAGGTCTTTTCTCAAAATTTCGATTCATATCAGTCCGCAGTAGTAATTCCTTGATAGCAGCAACATTTGAAGATCCTTGACCGCAAACCGTGGCAATAATATGGAAGCCAATTTTATTTATTTTACTTATATGTTCTTTGATACACCTTATTAGTTGCGCTGTGTTTGTCTGTTTATCGCAAAAACTATATGAAATTGGCATCTTCCAACCTGAGTTCAGACCGCGCAATATAAAGACCAATGCATGATCTGCAACTTTGCCAGTACGGTTGGTGCCCCAATCTTCAAGGCCACATATGATATCTTTTTGGATATCATAGGCGACTTTGGGTTGTATTGATAACTCATCCCACATTAGAATGCACACTTTATCCTTTTGCGACATTTTTGGAGCTATATTTTCCAGATGTTTTAGGATTAAAGAGTTCAATCTAGTAGAGACGGGTAATTTTTGGAGCACCGACTGCAAAGTTTGAATTGACGGTATATCTTTAAAAACGGTTCGTAAACATGTGTACGCTCGCTTTCCCATTGTCTTATACAATGTCAACGCTAACGCCTTATGTTTCGTTCCATATCGATGTCCCTACGAAGTACCATAAAATATCAATAATCCACATAAAATATTTAAAAACAATATTATTAAATGTGAAATAATTCTAGTATCATTTATAATAAATTAGATATGATAAAGTAGAGTATTTAAAAAACGAGAGAAATACAAATATTGCTTTAGACCTAAATTGTTTAATAATAGATCATATTTTCATACTCGTGTAGATACAAAAAAAAGATTTTTATAGATGCATATTATAAGTGTAAGTACTTATCCATAATTTATAAACTATAATATAAATTTGCATATTCTTATTTCGCTCTTAAAGCTTCCTCTATGAGGAAGCCATAACAATGGAAGCAATGT